TATATATATATATATATATATATATATATATATATATATATATATATATATATATATATATATATGTGTGTGTGTGTGTGTGTGTGTGTTTCTTGCACAACACAGTAGTTGGTGGTCCCTGAGATGCAGCATTTTCTGCCAAATCAACAAGTTCATCATCAGACTTAAACTAAAAAATTACTGACATTGTAGCATTATTTTATGTTTCATAGTGTATTTCGATTTTCAGGCAATTTATCATATTTTTATCGTTAATTTTGGAGTACCACTACTTCCAGTTCAATTTCAAGACGAACCAAATCGGATGGAATGGCCAACAGAGGACCACGCACTGTATACTTTAGTAGTTACAGGTATTGTCATAATTTCAGTAATTTTAAAATTCTCCAGTACTCTCAGTATTTTCCAATCACTTAAGTTTCAACATTTTTACTTAAGATGATAATAGAAAGAAAAGTATTTTTGGATTGCTGAAATTTTGAATTCACGCAGTCAGATAATGTATTCAGAAAAATATTTAAATTTTTAGGGTTATAATAAACCAGTTCTTTTTTTTCAGTTTAAGAAAAAGCGGAGATAAATGTACTATAGGTATTTTTTATAAATATTCCTCCGTTCATAGTGGCCTATGAAAAAGAAGGAGCCTTAATTTCTGCTTTAGAGAACCTTTTCGTCTTGTGAAAACTGGGCTGAGAGAGGCATCAATCAAAACGATCCGCTTCACGTAAATTAATTTTCCTCATTCTAAGAGGAACTTAAATGTTGAATTATTTTATAACCAGAACCTTCAACCGGGGTTTTATTTACTCTTTAACTGAACTTCACCTCTGTAACTCCAAACTCAGTCTCTATCTTTCGAAAAACATCCCTTCGTCCGCTTCGGCTGGTAGGGAAAACAGAAGGTGTGGAAAATAATTGACTAGAGACTTCTAAATATCATCCAATCATCTACTTAGCGAGGGTACGGACAGATCGTTTCATAGAGAGCTGAGGACCCAAAAGGGCAGCCAGCTTTAACACACAAAATTTTAGTGCCAATATTCAGACTCCGATGCAAACCAAGATGGCCAAGAATGTTCATAAATGAGCGTTCCTCCGCAAAAATGAGTAAATTAATGCAAATACTAAGTCAAATACGTGCTTTTTAAACGACGGGTCGTAACGACTGTGACAATAATTTGTTTTGGATATTTGAATTTATAGGTTGGCTACCCTTTTGGGCCCTAACTTCATTCGCGGAGGCATTGGTGAAGGCCTAAAGCAATTTTGCAGTTTTACACCTGTTTACTCTCACTATACAGGTACTCCAGTCCAATCGTGACCAGTCGAAGCCTCTGTTTCAAATAAGAAAATGACTTTTAATGTTGGCAAAACGTGGCATGCATGAATTGTATCACTATGGATAGTAATTAGACCTCGGTGTGGTCACTACACTGCTGTGATAGCGAAGAGAGCAGTAAGTGTCAAATTTTCGAAATGAAGTTTCCTTCAAAATTCGTCTAATCTCTTTTAAATGTCATCGCTGTAATAGCTCAAACAGTTAAATCAAGCTTCATTGTTTGATAGCAAGACATGAGAAAGCCGTAAGTGCGCAAAAAATGACGTATTTACGGGCAAGACAGCGGTAAGTGACAATATTCCTAGAGATCCCATGAAAACAGGGCTTTCAAGTAAAGTGTCGTCCTCCTCTGCCAATTTCTAACCTGAAAATGTTTTTGTTGTTTGTCTAAAACGCAACCACAAAAGCAGGCAGAAGACTTATAGCATTTAAGGCTGTCTTGTCTAACAATAACCTAGCATGAAAATGAATAATACCCTTTTTAAGAAATTGAAATAAAACCAGTCGGTCTTTAACCATTCAAACGATTTCTAGGAGTCTTTCGGACGATTAGAGGCAATTTGACAAAGAACGGAGGCTTCTTTCAATACAATTTTCCGGTCAGAAGCTCCTGAGCCGGTTTTCTCAAAACCTCATTTTTTCACTTGATGCTCTCTACGCTATCACGGCAGCACAGACAGTTCTGTCTGTGTATTTGATTACAGAAACAAGTTCTGACAACCACTAAACATATTGAATAAGACTGTCACTTTTTATTGCCCTTGCTTTCTCGGATTGATTTGTATCTATTTTTTTCCTGTTGCGTCATAACTCATAATTAATTTTATTTTATGACATGGACTTACTTAGGTCTAGATGCTCCAACAGGCCAAAATGCAAGTAACCGAGAATGGCTTCACTGGTTGATCGTAAACATTCCACGTTTTCAATGGAAATTCGGAACCAAAATAGTGGATTATCAAGGTGACTCCCGCAATTACGGACCAGGTAAATTCGAATAATTTCTACAGCATAGTTTGATTTCTTTCTTTTTTTTTTACGCAAAACTATGTGCACATACATACCTTCGCACCTTTCCCGTGAAAAAGCCTTCGGTGATTTTGTTGCCCATATCTTGGCTTTAGATTGGTCGAAAAAAGAGGAAGAAAAAACAGTTTGTGTTGCCCAGCTAGTTAAAAAAAAGGTGACGCCACTCGTATTTCATACAGGACAATGCAATTACCGCACTGATGACAAGAGAGCAAAACCACGTACCTCCATTGCGGTGTTTCAATATCTCGACTGCAATGGACATGTTGCATGTGTGAGGAATTTGCGATTTGACTGTTGATTCATATGTAAAAGTTCGCGAGGAACAGGATGGTGCCACTGGTTTTCTCTGAAAGCAACTCCCAAGCTCAAAGAAAGCTCTCAAGTTGAGGCCAAAATGGAGGGGATATCCCCCGCTATCCTGAGAGTCCACCTCTACATCAAGACAAACTCTCCATGCAAAGATAGGGAACAAATACATTGACAGGGCTGCCACCTTATTTGGGGACTCTAAAACTGAAATCACGGTGCGTCCTTCCAATATCGTGTGTTTGGCCCTATTAGACATATTTCAACATATCGTCACCTCTCGGCCAAAGTATCACAAGCGCCATGTGACGTTTAAAAATGTCCACCGCCATTTTATTATTGTACAGAGAAATTGTTCAACGAAGCTTTCCGAAAATTTCACCGAATTTTTTTTTTTTTTTTGCTGCCGATAAAATTCAGTGAAATTTTCAAACAGATTCAACCGACGATTTCTCTGTGAAAAAATGAATCGGCGGCGGAAATTTTGAAACGTTGCATGGTGTTTGAGATACTTTCTCCGGAAGGTGACGATATGTTACCAATTCTTTTACTATTGCACTGCGCGGGTCATTTTTCAAAAATTTCAATGTGGAAATGATTAATTTGCTTAACGCCATCTGATTCTGCTAAGCCGGAAGAAGGAGATGCGGCTAAACTTTCTTAAGGTTGCTACTGTTTTGTCGGTGCAGGCTGTTTTCCTACGTGTGAGGACTAAAAAAAGAGGAAAACAGCAGGTTTACTTCACAGCATGGCTATCAAAAGTGTACTGAAAGAGATAAAGAGCGTAGAAACTTCTATTGATCGAAGTTGCAGAAATAGTGTGTACAAATTGAGGATTGGGGCACCTTCAATTCGAGTGATACTTCCAGCATAACCGGGAAGTTTGTTTAGTTGCGTGACCTAACTTAACCCAACCTGACTATGTTGTGATCAATTCCCGAGCTTTGAGACCGCTCAGAACTGTAACACTGCTTTGTTTCGACGTTTCGGAATTACTTTTCATACATTATTTTTTCCCAAAAAACTCATCAACTTTTTCTTGTCAAGTTTTTACTTTTTAGTGAATTTTTGTCACTTAGTAGGCACCAGACTTATTTCTTTACAATTTCAAATAATTTTTTCGATATTAGGAAAAAAATTGATGAAAAAGTTCCACCATTGCATGTAGCTTTGCGTCTTAAGCCCAAATGACAGCTGATTGGGGGGGGGGGGGGTCACGTAGCGTAGCCGAGCACTCCGCGTCCGGCCATGCAGAGGTTGATGTTTGATCTTTCGCCGGGGAGATTTTTTTATGGTTTTCTTTTATGTTTTATTTGACTGAAAAAGTATGAACACACTGCTGTGGTAAGGAGGAACGCCGTACAAACATTCGAGAATTGTCAAATTTCCACCCATAAAATTTTTATTTTTGAGGAAAGTTATGATTGTTTTTCCTTGAAATTTTCAGATCTTTTAGATTGAATTGCGAACTTAATCGTCGGAAAAATATTCACCATTTTCACACTGAATTTGTTTTGTATTGAAGGACACATGGCAATATCTGGAGGCTCATACGGCGTTTTTCCTTAGCACGGCAGTATATTACTTCCTTCTGCCACCGAGATAAGCGCTCTCCAGCGCGATTGCCTCGGAACGCCTTGTTTTTTTTTTTCTTTTGACATGCTTGGCAGGCGTGGGTTTTATAATACGATCGTCACACTGACGAGTTTCCTGCAGCATTTTACAGTAGAGTAGTTATTTGGTCGCATTTCTGCCAAACGGAACTATGTGCATTAAGACATGAGCCCTGAGACCCATAAGGATACAAGCGTAACAGGGCTCACGTCATAATGCACATAGTTTCGTTTGGCAGAAATATTGTAGAGGTGGGCTCTCAGGATAGCGTGGGATATCCCCTCCATTTTGGCTTTAACTTGAGGGCTTTGTTTTGAGCGTGGGAGTTGATTTCAGAGAAAACCAGTGGCACCATCGTGTTTCTCGCGAACTTTTACGTAAGAATCAACAGTCATATCGCCAATTCCTCACACATGCAGCATCTCCATTGTATGATTCTTTAATGGAAACAAGTAAACTTTATAGCTTGAAATGAATATAAAATATTCTGTTGAAGAAGAAGAAAAATGAAGGAAATTTTCAAGGAGCTACGCTTACTAGTTTTCCAAAGAAAAAATAAATAATGACTGAAAGTCTCCGACGTCACAAATGGAGATTACAGGGTTTTGCTCTTTGGTCGTCCATGCATATGTTATCAAAAGTGAAAAAATTATAAGCGTCAGCGTACTTTCTTTACGGACATGGATACAACTATTCGCACGCAAGGGATGTCCGTGTTGCATCCACAAAAATTGCAGGCGCTTTGTAGGCTTTCCGAATAAATCACTGAGCTCAGCCAAAGCCACTCCAGGTAAAAACAAAATAGTGTAATTTGTGGAAGCGTTACCGGCAATGGTTCGGGTGTTAACATTTGCAATGATTAGGCAAACAGTTTTTGGAAATGGGTTTTTGCGGAAAATTATGTCACCCTCTCAATAAAGGAAATTATTTCAAAATTTCTGAAGAGAGAAGACTTTGATATAATAAAGATGATAGCAGGCGGAATGTTGAAAAATGTGAGTAGAGATTATTAAAATTCTAAAATAATTGATTTGAAAATTTATTTTGTTTCAAGTAAAAAAGGGAAGAGAGTAAGCAGAAGTTTATTTGTCCGGAAAGTTTTTAGGTATTGCTATAATCAAGTGGGCCTCACTAATGATTAATGATATTGCTTTAAATCGTTAATCTCTGTAGAATACCACAGTTATAAAATTTATGCATTTTGGCTTGTCACTCGTGTAAATTTCAGATTTTTCAAGATTTAATCTCGGCATTTTGCCTGATTTTTTTTTTCATCGGCATTTTTCATCTTATAAAATATTTAGAGTTCGCGGATTTGTATTTTTTTTCAGGCCCTCATCGTTGCGTCTTTTTGGCGTTTAAACAACCTTTTAGACAAAAAATGATTTTCAACGAAAATTGTATTAGAAATGGGTAAGTACTGCAATCCTTATGCAATCCTAAATGTAAGAGCAGCATCAGAGTTAAAACAGTAAAGCTATCTTTTCAAACATACACTGAAAAAAAAGAATCTTAAATTTGCCGCCAAGAAGTATTTCTTCTTAAATCAAGAATTTTGCTGGTTAATATAAGCTACATTTTTGCTTAACCCAAGTATTATTTTTCTTGAATCAAGAAAAAGTCAGCTTAAAGCAAGATAAAAAAAATTCTTGGTGGCAAGTTCAAGAATTATCATGCTTGATCCAAGCCACTTTTTTTTTCAGTGTACCTAATTTTCCATAGAAAAGCTTTCAAATCACATCGTTCGGTTTTGCTCAACATCAGATGAGACGCCACCCAGGGTAGAGAAACCAAAAAATTGGTATTTTGTTCACATTAAAGGAGATACGTAGTATCGTATTTCACCGTCAACATGCCTCTAACATTCGGAATATCATGACATATTGATGCCAATTGTTGCAATTTTATCTTCCTTTCTCTGTTCTAAATTAAATTATGTACTTTTCTAGGGCAAATGATAGTCTGAGGGCAAATTTCTCAACGGCAGCATTCGTCAAAAAATACAATTTAAGTGAACCCGTCGCCGCAAATTTTTTTGTTTTTGAATCGGAGTTTTCAAACGCTGTACCGTCCGTCCAAATTTAATGTGAATATTGTAAATATTACCGTACAATTTTCAAATAGAAAATAAGTTTAAATTGCAATATATTTGTCGGTGTCATTACGTTCATAATGATTTATGAGAAAGTTCAACTGTTGTTCGTAAATTATGTTACAATGTAAGGAATACCCCTTCAAAATGTATTCATTCGTATAATGAAGGATCGCACATTTTGCATGTACATGTTTTCCACATTCCTTTTCCCGTATTTTTATAAAAAACAAAATTGAAATTCTTCAGTCAACTTGAGCTGTTACAAATAATCCAGGGACATCCCCAGTAAAAATCGGCCATTACTCTTACGGAATTTTAGTGCCTTATAATCTGAAAAAACATACATTTTTGAAGGACTAACGACCAAAATAGTGTTTCTGATTTAATCTTTTCGGATTATAATTTCTTCGTCTTAATTCGCGCCATTTTTTTCAGGTGTGATGGCAAAATGATGTAACTTTTTTCAGTGTTTCTTCATTAATTGTTGGGTCGATTTCATGAATTTTTGGCTTTTCCTAGCTTTGATTACCCTGCGTGGACCCGGTACTATTCTACCACCCTGTTATAATTTATATGATGTCCAATTGTCCATCTTTTATAAAAATGGTTAAATTAGAAAGGATACGATCGAGAGTTAAACATCCACTTATTCTTTTTACATAAATTAATTAGTTAGGATATGATACAAGCAAAACAGTACTATTTTCATACCGATGTTTAAACATGGGGTTTGAGCAAAATTAAGAGGGAGAGGAAAAACTTTGGAGGATCCAGAACCAGTTTTATTAGCATACTGAAAACGTATAAAAAATTGGTATGTCTGATATTAACGAGGATATTATGCGTTTTTCATTTTTTGAGTATTATAATATTCCAGTTTTCACACCAGATAAATTATTCCGGATCTTTTGCGTAGAAATTTGAAAAAAACCTGAGGAGGTTTGATTTTTTAGATGTGATTTTGCTTACTACCTACACTGATTTAAAAATATGATCCATGAATTCAGTCAAAAATAACTTATGCACGCGAATTTAAAGCGGTGCCGCTTTAAGAAGTGGTAAGACAAGATTTAAGAGATTTTTTCATTTTTTTGAAATCTTTTAAAATAACGGTACGGTACAATGTGACAACACTGCGCTTTAGAGATTTTCATCACATCACTGACATAAACGTTTTATGTGATAAATGTGAACATGAGCATTGAGAACAGTATTCGTCATTAGCTGTGAAAATGAGGTTGGTGATATTACGGGATTACCATGCGCCGGTACGAATTGTATAATTCAAAGTGACGACATGGTCGAATGACAAACCGAAAAATTTTAGAACTTTTTAAGATGGAGAACAAGGGAATCATTCATGGTAAGTTTTTCTCTGTAGTTTACTAAATACGGGGGCCAAAAAAACCCTCTTATTTTTGGGCATGCACTATGAAAAAGACTCAAGTTTTAAAGAATTTCTGCAGATCAAAGTGTGAAAATTCTGTCGTGACGCGCGCTAGAGTGTGCCTGACAAAAAAATGAGCCGTTCTTATGTAGAAGCCACATTCAGTATTTACCGAAAGTCTGCTCTCAAAAGATAAATGAAGGAGCATGGTGGAAAGTTTCATTGGTTTACTCAAATAACAATACCCTCCTAAAAATAAAACAGCAAAATGATATTCAAACGATCACGTGAGGCCCTGAAAAATCCTTAATGAGTATAAATAAAATGTAACTTAGTTGTGATGCAGCCCAATACAGTTTATTTGCCTGGAAACTCGTTTATTCTGACCTGTAAATCCTAGGTAAAGAAGCAAGAGTGGACCATATCACAATCCCGTGACACTGTAGTGATAGTAATGATGAATGCTGAACAGGACTATTAGATTGAATAATCCATTAAACGTAGAAATTTTTAAATAATATATTGTTTGCACTTAAAAGAAGAACAAAAAATTATCAGAGAATTTCATCTTCCAACATACTCGTAATGGCGCACAGTATATGCTGCTTGTGCACTGCCTCTTGGAGTAGAGTGACCGGAGCGCCTTCAATTTAGTTATCTGCAACACGCGTGTCCATAGAGCACGAATAGTTGTATCGAGAATATGTCGACGGCGTTAGTCCGCAATCACGTATCTCGTTTGCGGTGTCTGAAAATCTCCGCCTCTATGTTATTTTTTTTTAAAGGAGAACAGATTGACATCGTTCCTTGAAGTTTTTGCAGAATTTTCTTCGCACAGAGAAGAAGAATCACGGCAGTTTTAAAGAATTGCCGTTGAGTAGTTTTCAGTTTAGGAAATAAATGTATGACAGGAAGTCTGTGACGTCGCAAACGGAGATATGTGATTGCCGACTTACACCGTCGATATATCACAAACATTATTTAATTCGTTGCTCACGTTGACTTGGGACGTTAGCATGAGAGGCTCCGCCTCATCTTATTCTACTTTTTCATACTTCTGATGATCATTTTATACACTACGATGATGTTCTATTTTTGACAGGGTGACATGTCCAAATTGATCTTCTCCAGTGCGAAATAACGTATGTTTATTTTAAGGTTACTAAATTGACCAAAACCATTTTTTTTTTTTTTTTTTTTTTTTTTTTTTTTTTTTNAAACAAAATTAAAATTTATCAGTCAACTTGAGCTGTTACGAATAATCTAAGGACATCCCCAGTAAAAATCGGCCATTACTCTTACGGAATGTTAGTGCCATATAATCTGAAAAACATACATTTTTGAAGGACTAACGACCAAAATAGTGTTTCTGATTTAATCTTTTCGGATTATAATTTCTTCGTCTTAATTCGCGCCATTTTTTTCAGGTGTGATGGCAAAATGATGTAACTTTTTTCAGTGTTTCTTCATTAATTGTTGGGTCGATTTCATGAATTTTTGGCTTTTCCTAGCTTTGATTACCTTGCGTGGACCCAGTGCTATTCTGCCACCCTGTTATAATTTATATGATGTCCATCTTTTATAAAAATGGTTAAATTAGAAAAGAATACGATCGAGAGTTAAACATCCACTTATTCTTTTTGCATCAATTAATTAGTTAGGATATGATACAAGCAAAGCAGTACTATTTTCATACTGATGTTTAAACATGGGGTTTGAGCAAAATTAAGAGGGAGAGGAAAAACTTTGGAGGATCCAGAACCATTTTTATTAGCATACTAAAAACGTATAAAAAATTGGTATGTCTGATATTAACGAGGATATTATGCGTTTTTCATTTTTTGAGTATTATAATATTGCAGTTTTCACACCAGATAAATTATTCCGGATCTTTTGGGTAGAAATTTGAAAAAAGCCTGAGGAGGTTTGATTTTTTAGATGTGGTTTTGCTTACTACCTACACTGATTTAAAAATATGATCCATGAATTCAGTCAAAAATAACTTATGCACGCGAATTTAAAGCGGTGCCGCTCTAAGAAGTGGTTAGACAAGATTTAAGAGATTCTTTCATTTCTTTGAAATATTTTAAAATAACTGTACGGTACAATGTGACAACACTGCGATTTAGAGATTTTTATCACATCACTTACGTAAACGTTTTATGTGATAAATGTGAACATGAGAATTGAGAACAGTATTCGTCATTAGCTGTGAAAATGAAGTTGATGATATTACGGGATTACCATGCGCCGGTACGAATTGTATAATTCAAAGTGACGACATGGTCGAATAACAAACCGAAATATTTTAGAACTTTTTAAGATGGAGAACAAAGGAATCATTCATGGTAAGTTTTTCTCTGTAGTTTACTAAATACAGGGGCCAAAAAAAACCTCTTATTTGGGCATGCACTATAAAAGAGACTCAAGTTTTAAAGAATTTCTGCAGATTAAAGTGTGAAAATTCTGTCGTGACGCGAGCTAGAGAGTGCCTGACAAAAAAATAAGCCGTTCTTATGTAGAAGCCACATTCAGTATTTACCGAAAGTCTGCTCTCAAAAGATAAATGAAGGAACAGGGTGGAAAGTTTCATTGGTTTACTCAAAAAACAATACCCTCCTAAAAATAAAACAGCAAAATGATATTCAAACGACCATGTGAGGCCCTAAAAAATCCTAAATGAGCATAAATAAAATGCAACTTAGTTGTGATGCAGCCCAATGCAGTTTATTTGCCTAGAAACTCGTTTATTCTGACCTGTAAATCCCAGGTAAAGAAGCAAGAGTGGACCATATCACAATCCCGTGACACTGTAGTGATAGTAATGATGAATGCTGAACAGGACTATTGGATTGAATAATTCATTAAACGTAGACATTTTTAAATAATATATTGTTTGCACTTAAAAGAAGAACAAAAAATTATCAGAGAATTTCATCTTCCAACATACTCGTAATGGCGCGCAGTATATGCTGCTTGTGCACTGCCTCTTAGAGTAGAGTGACCGGAGCGCCTTCAATTTAGTTATCTGCAACACGCGTGTCCATAGAGCACGAATAGTTGTATCGAGAATATGTCGACGGCGTTAGTCCGCAATTACGTATCTCGTTTGCGGTGTCTGAAAATCTCCGCCTCTATGTTATTTTTTTTTAAAGGAGAACAGATTGACATCGTTCCTTGAAGTTTTTGCAGAATTTTCTTCGCACAGAGAAGAAAAATCACGGCAGTTTTAAAGAATTGCCGTTGAGTAGTTTTCAGTTTAGGAAATAAATGTATGACAGGAAGTCTGTGACGTCGCAAACGGAGATATGTGATTGCCGACTTACACCGTCGATATATCACAAACATTATTTAATTCGTTGCTCACGTTGACTTGGGACGTTAGCATGAGAGGCTCCGCCTCATCTTATTCTACTTTTTCATACTTCTGATGATCATTTTATACACTACGATGATGTTCTATTTTTGACAGGGTGACATGTCCAAATTGATCTTCTCCAGTGCGAAATAACGTATGTTTATTTTAAGGTTACTAAATTGACCAAAACCATTTTTTTTTTTTTTTTTTTTTTTTTTTTTTTTTTTTNTTTTTTTTTTTTTTTTTTTTTTTTTTTTTTTTTTTAAATACAAGAATGCGCCTGTGCAATAATCGTCTAGAATTTTTCTGATTTTTGCATGAGAAGAGAAGAAAAATCAGGGACATTTTCCGTTAGAAATGCCCAAGAGTCTCCTGGTGAATACGCAATTTTTCAATGTTGAGATTTCGTTATGTTCTTTAGGGAAGAAAACTACGAATTCAGGAAGAAAAATTATTTTTAAAATTACTTATTGTTGCACAGCAGTATATAAAGGACGAGCTCAATTAACCATGATCAGATTTTTAGAAACACTAGAAGGGGTTGATCATTTCGGACACAGGGGGACTCACTCAAACGCAAGTGTTTCTGAAAAACTTTTAAAAACACTTTTAGTAATATTTTGCAGGATGTTGAATCTTGCGTAAGACAATTGATAGCACGAGAATCTGTCATTTGATCATGATCTTCGACATTTTTCAAATCATGCTTTTCTTGATAGCGGTGGTTCTGCTCAGCGCTAAAAATGTCATCGGTGATGAAATAAACATGCGACAAACTTGGGAAAAAGCTAGGATTAAGCCTGATGTGACGCAATTTTCCCCTCAAAACCCTCTGCTCGTGAGTAGCTTTCATGCTCTCTTTCTTTTTTCGCTCCACTAACCACATGTAAACTGTCATTTAAAAGCTACGTCCACCTCCTGAACTCTGCAACAACAAAGCTAAAACAACCCCAGAGACTGAATATTATCTCTACGTGGACTTTGAAAAATCCATTGTTTTTCAATAATTTTTCAATACATTTATGGCTAAGTTGTCACAGAAACTAAAGTACAAAAATTCTATTTTCAAGCACAGTTCCACTGGCCTACATCAGTCACATGTGCAAAAATATAAAACTCGGGGTAAAGCTTTATATTGTATCCCGTGAGAATTTTTTCTCTCGATAGTTGGACAGTTTCTATTTTACAATTTTCATCATAGAAGAAATAATTTTCTGATTCTAAAAATTTTCACGGAACAAAAAAAGTTGGTTACGCATTTTATGACCAATTTCCGCTCCTCACGATTTTTGTTGCGTGTGAGGAAAGAGGAATAAATATGAATGAAGGAACCTCGTGAATGTTCTGATTCCTACTCTGAAAGTGCAGGAACATTTCACACAAACAAAATTCCTGATCCTCAAAATTACACTATCGGGAATATCGGCGTCAATGCGGCAATAACCTTACACCGCACTGCACTTTAAAAAAATGTGCTATTGTTGCGCAGAGGCTCCCAATCGAACCACATTTTGCGATTCGGAACTATAATTTCTGGCTCATCTGTAAAAACACTTATGTGCATAGGGAAACTAATGGTACATACGTTGTTTCTAAATTGAGCCAGAGATTATAGTTCCGAATCGCAAAATGTAGTCCACTTTAATTCGCGGGAGCCTTTTGAGTATATTTAGCTTCAAAATCTTCCACTTGCATGATCCACACTTTTTTAATCTCAGTGCTTTCTTGTTTCAGGAATATTACTTTTTTGATAAAGTAAAATTTGGAAATCAACTATCACCGAATACTGTATTTAATGTACCAACTTTACTCGACTGGCCTTTGTTAGCCGGACATTTCTATACTATAATGATGATTGGTGAGAATTTTTGCATATTTGTTATGGTAATTAAATGTGTTCCCATTCGCAGGAGTTTTGTAACGGAATATAAAACTCTTTTTTTTTTTTTTTTTTTTTTTTTTTTTTTTTTTTTTAAATGCAAATTTAGTATTCTAAATCATCTTTTCGAAAAAACAATAATGGCCACTGCAGCTTAATATCTACGAATGCATGACAGGTTTTCTCGAACTCAATCTCAACTAGGAAAAAGTACGAGTAACATGCACCTTGAATATGCATGTTTGCTTAGACTTCTTTTAGTTTCTTCCTTTCCTCCATTTCTCAGATCTGTGTATTTTTACGTTTCCGAATCATGTTGGTGACCTTGAATTTTCCCCCACCACTCATTGAAAAAAACAAGGAGAACAAAAACTGCGTACCACGGCAATAATTTTTGTCCTTATTTGTAAGTAGCAAGGTTGAATCACTGTTACAGGGTTTACATAAAGCACCATTTACCGTGAATCGCTAAAAAGCCATTTGATTACAAATCTGATGAGCTCGTCTTTTTTACTAAAAAGAGAAGGAGAAGAAAAAAATACTAACTTTCTCAATTATTTCAATTATAACTATCCTCTCTTGAAAATGTTTCCTTTTAAATTAAATTTCACAGTAAAATATATGTGCTCAAAATGAATTAAAAAAATTGCCATAAGCGCAAATTTAATGATATTTTTTTCGGCATTTAAATCTAAATAAGGGGAATCTCTTCATGTAATCAAAAATTAGGCGCAACGAAGAGTTATGTCCATGTTGCCATTTCATCATATTTGTCCGTTTCTCTACTTATATTTTCCTTTTTATTTAAGGTTTGAAAACTTTATTGAAAAATACGTATTTCAGGAACAATTGGACTGAGTTAAGCAGAAAGGAACCAACCCACATTTTGGAAAAAATTGAGTTATGAGTGGTTTTGAACTCAACCACTGCTCTACTATCTATCGCCAAAAATTCTAGGTTTTTGTTGGAGAACATTTTGCAGAAATTGAACTTGAAGTTTATCTTTTACATTGAGTCTTATGCAGGAGCCAAACTTTAAACCTCATTTTCTCGCTTCGATCCCGATGTGGCTTGGTTCCTTTCTGTTTAACTCCGTCCAATTATTGCTGATATAATTTTCTAGGAACGACATTTTGTATGCTCTAGATCCTGATGCTCCTAATCCTAAAAATCCGATTGATCGAAATAGACTCCATTGGCTCGTTGTAAATATACCCAATGATCATTACAGAGAAGGCGAAACACTTGTTGAGTACCGAGGTATCATTCGAGATAAAGAAAAATGTAAGTAGCTATTCCATTAGTTAGTTTCAGATTCTGAACAGCCACATCCTAGATTTTTTTCATTTTTTTCATCGGAAATGAAATCTGTTTTTTGGCATCTAAAGTACAAAGGGAGGGCATGGAATCCCCCCAAACCTGGCGCACCCTGTGAGGGTTTTCCAACTCTACTCTCGAGAACTCAACACCAATCGTAGCACGGCTAATTTTAGTCAAGTCTAAGCTTGGAACCTTGACGTGCGTCAGCATGATTGATTATAAGGGGTTTCCTACCTTTCTTTTAAATCTTTTCCCAAAATAATGGAATGAGACTTGAAATGTCTTCTATTTGCTTCTTCTAATTACGAGGTCTGCTAAATAAAGATTTTGGTGATAACTAGCCCACTATGCGTCTGAATTAGGTTTTCTTGGACTAGCCTGATAGCTGCAAATATACTTAAGAACGCTACATTCGCAAATTTGAAAAATCTCATTTATCTTTGTGGGTAAGTGACTTGTGGGTATGTGTTCTGCGATTTTCGTGTTTGACCGCGAACTTGTCGCTGTTTTTTCGGTCTTGCATTACCTTTTCCATCCCACACGGATGATTGGAGTTTCGTTTCCATATTGTAGCCGTATTCTCAAAAACCAATTTTTCCACCCATCTCAATATTTCACTGCTGAAAATGTTACTTCCGTGAACTGAGGTCTTTTCTCTCGCGAACAGTCGCTTTTTGGGAATCAATGAGACAGAGGGAGCAACTTGACTCAGCTCTTCGTAATTTGTTGTATATTCACGACTCTGAATTGAACTGCATTATGAGGAGGGGGGGGGGAGATATATCGTCCAGAAATTGACCATTCCTGATCTGTTCACAAAATTCCCTAGGAGCCAGCCTTAAGGCTTTGCTCTCGTTTTTACTTACCTGAGCAAGTCATCCTCCCTGATAATTTTTTTTTATCTAGGTACCGTTTTTTCTTTCAGCACCACACAGATACGTGACTCTTGTTTATCATCAACCTTGTGAAATGAAGTTCGACTTTCAGAAGATTAACTCCCGGTATGCACATTCACAATGAAATAATCGAAACTGTACTTTTTGGGTATCGAATGTGAAATTGGACTGCATTATGCAATTAAGAACTATAAATTCCGGCCCGGTTTAAAAACAACGTATATATGCCATTAGTTTCCCTATGCACATAAGTGTTTTTTCAAATGAGCCAGAAATTATAGCTCCAAATTGCAAAATGCAGTCCAATTATACTAATCCGCGTATCTTGTAAAATTCGCATCACATTTCACTCTGTTGAGGCACGCAAGTCATCAATACTGAGTACAATTTCGTTCGATTTTTCTTTGCTTGGGAATTTAGGCTAGAAAGACTCTACAGGAATACATTTATAGAGAACTAAACAGGTAAAAATTTCGAAATATTGTGATCAAGATACGTGAGTTCGTTGCTTCACATTTGATGTATGATTTCCTTCCTTAATAATTTTGCATAATTTAATTTCATGTTCAATGAGAACGAAAACCGGCTATAGTGAGAATATAAATTGATAATTTTCAATGAATGATAATTGTAACTGTGAGTTTTCAAACTATCATTTGACCCCAAAAATGTAAATTTCAAAGGTCTCTGGCATTTTTCTTTAAGAAGTTCTTAACTGTTCTGTTCGATAAAGACCACTGTTGTATGATCACAGCTGGAATTAAATACAGTTTTTAAGGATTTATATTCACTGTGCCTTGAAATAAAACGGTTGTTTTTTGTTTATAGTGAGCTCAAAAGCCGCGCTAATTTTAGCGTGGAGGCATTTGCGGAAAAGTACAATTTCACCGATCTCATTGCTGGCAACTACTTTATCGGATCTTGATATTCTTCGATGAGAACCACCAACCCGTTTACACATCGAAATAAATGGACCATCAATTGAAAGACACGCAGCTTTAAAACGCACTTTCATGTATGCTGAATAAAAGACTTGATCATCTTATTTTTATGAATTGAAATAAATTGATTTTATACTGAATATGACAAGTAATGAAATATCTATATGTGAACTGTGTATCATTAATTTTTTCCCTGTTTGTTACTGACTATTTCAGTTAACCAATGAGAATACCGATAAAAACTGGCTTAACTCTTAAATTCCCAAGTCGGGTCAAATTAAGCCGAGGCTTTTTTAAAACATGTGCCCCGTGGGTTTCATAAAGCTGGTGCACACTAGTTTTAGATATTGATCTACAAATATATCGTAAATAATAAGTCAGACACCAAATTGGAAAAAAATGAGAAATTCAAGTGTCACGCAGTCAAAAATAGGAGAGACGTGATCGGGAATCGTTTTTTAACTTTGTTCCCGAGTTTCAGTGACACCTCATTCGTATCAGAACAGAAAATGGCGAGTTCACGCCCTGTGCCATCTTGTCTTCAATTTTGCAGGTGCAACATGGACACTTGGACATCCATCAAGCAGGAATAGTTGAATGTTTAGGCTAACATCAATTCGCGTTGATTTGTCTGTAATTTTTGAAATTTGAGAAAAGTTAAGGTTGCTAAGGTACCAAAAAGGAGGAAATTTGAAAAAAACGAAACAAGTATTTCCTATTAACGTCAAAAACGTATAACACATAACCTTAAAATTATCAAAATTAACGTATGGAAATATTTGTACGTGTCAATTTATTTGACCCATGACTTACGACTATATGCATGCGTATAAAAAAAGTCTTGAGCATATAAGTGTTAACTCATCATTACAATGAAACAAAACGTTTGATGCGGGAACTCTAATTCGAATTTGTGTTCTATTTAGGAGATATAGTGGCTCAAAAAATAGAGGGCCGAAGTTTGGAAAGAGTTTTGAAAGTTATTGTCACTAGACAATTTTCGTAAATGAGAATGAGTATTGTTTATGTAAAGTAATAATGACTAGTGAAACTTGAAATTACTCTCAAGTCATTCTCTCCTGCCATTTGGGCTTGATCCCTAGTTAATTGATAATTATCAACAGTGAACCGTGAGGTAACACGAGGAAGAGTTTTAAAAATAATCTTTCCAGTTACCAAGGCAATCAGCGTGGCAAGAGTCATAGTTGAAAACGAGAGCTTCAAGCTCTAGCATGTATAAGCATCTGGACTTACCGCGCTATAGTAATGTGTTGAATTTAGTATTATTGAGAGTAAATTCTAGAAATACCTTTCTAGTAGATAATTTAAACTAGTTATGTAAGGAAAACTCTTTTTATTCCTTCTTCCTCTAAGTACATCTCTTTTTCTTCCATTTGACTAAAATTTAGGAGATATCTATTTTTCTATCTAAAATCTACGTAAATTTCATTTTATTAATTTAAATGTTTATCTTTTTAATTGAATACAATTATTTAGGGCTGAATCGAACCTTAATGTAAAATGTCACTCATTCGGCTTAAGATATGATCTTCATGTTTTGATACAGTGAATATACATTTCCTTAAGTATGATACAATATTAATTTGGCTTATGGAGGCTCATTTTGCTGCAGTTGAAATTTCTTACAGTTGCTCCTCCTGAACCTCAATGACAGTCACCGTCAAAAAGTGTTTCCTTCGATCTTAATTAGATTTTGTCGTATTTTACCGGAATCGAGGTAATTGCACCATCGAAAAGCACTCTTTTGCGTTCATATCAAAATAATCAAGGGCTGGGTGTAAATGTCCACCTTGAATTGTCACATGTTCAAAGTTTTAATATGAGAATTGTTCATCTCAGTGATTTCGAATTAAAAATGTTCAACATTCAATTCGTCCTGTAAAATGAAGCGTTCATCGCTAACCACCTTCAATCAGCGATAGAGAGAACAATCTAGCGGCGGGATAAAGTCTAATCTTCAAGTAAAATGAATATTTCGAACGTTCATTTTGAGTATACCCACTTCTGAATATGTAATGGGAACTAAATAACCTATTCAAAGAGAGCACAGGCATGTCAAAATATGGAGCTCTTACAGGGCCCAAAAGAGTAGCCAACCTTCTTACACAAAAGCTGCCACTGCAAATCTTCAGATTCCAATATCAAACCAAGATGGCCGTGAATGTTCATAAATGAGCGTTCTTCCGCAAAAATGAGTAAATTCACGCAGAAACAAGTCAAATACGTGTTTACAAACGAGGGATCGTAACGACTGTAAACATAAATCACTTTACATAATTTGAATTCACAGGTATAGGCTGCTCATTGGTACCTAATAGCTCCATGACCTAATCCCAAAAATACCGACATGTCGCGTACTATCCCTAAATAGGTGCTGTAGTATAGGAACTTTTCAAGGGGAATCATTAAGAGATCTTGCATGTTGAACTTTGTTAACGATGAATAAATGCTACCGTACCAATTGACGATGATGCGGTTGAGCAGAATTTTGTACTTGCAACGTGTCACAGCCCGTGGCGGTTTGCTTTTGTATTGCCTCATTCAAATTTTGCCGATCAATGGAGAACCTTTTGACTTTGGCTACTGGAAGAAGAACTGGAGCGAATGTTTAGAGGAACATAAAATTATCCCAGATGTGATCGCCAAAAAGCCACCAAATTGGTTAGAGGTAATGATCAAGTATCAAATTACAAATATTTTGAGACAAAGTAGGCTTTAATCATTGAGAAAATATGATGATTGACTGTGAGAGATAAGAATAATGATGAACATTTTTAAACGTTGCATGACTATATTCGCGTGTTATTTTGTGGGATAAACAATTTTTTGAACTAAAGGTGATTTTTTTCGGTTGACTAATATTTTTGTATGATGCCGACGAGACATTGCCGTTGTGCAGGCAACTTTCAGCAGCAGAGCAATATGAATTTTTTCATGTTTAAAATAGAAAATAAATGTACTTTGAAACATTTTGGCAACTGAGTAATAGCTGCTTTTAATAGCTCTCTTATTTCCCTTTTCTGACTGACGCATTCAAATTTACTCGATCTAACCTAATTTAACCTGTGTAATCAATGCAAATGGGAAGATGTACTCCGTCAATAAACATTAATTGATACATGATATCATTTCTCTCATATTCTAAAGGCACTTTGTTGCAACACTGCTGAGTTGCATTTTACAAACTTGTTCATTTTTATAATTATTTTTAGGCATGCTACGTCATATATTCCGTCAGCTATGGCAACCACCTGTCTCAGTTTTACATAGATGAACCTCCAAATGACATGAAATGGAAACATGAGAACGATTCGGAATATTTCACCGCACTTTTAACGGGTGACTGATTCAAATCAATTAGTAATATAATTATAAGTTATAGGTGTAAATGTTACACCTTATTTACAGAATCGGATATTCCGCTGAATGGGCAGTTTTTCTCCCATTTCGTTGAATGAAAGGTCACATTGGCCAATCCGTAGACTAGCTGCCCAGTCTGCAAACTGACCAATGGCATTATTAATTCAAATTCCGCGAATGGGGCAGCAAATATACACATGACTTTAAAGGAACCCGAGCTCCTCTTTCTCCCGGCCAATATTGGATTGTATTGATGCAACCTTCCGCCGCGCCAAGGAAGTACGTTGCCAAATCTCCATTCGTAAAAAACGATTTTTCTTGAGAAACAGTGAACTTTTTTCGTCGAATTTTTTGGAACATTTTACAATAACACTTCGTTTATCTATGGTAGTGTCATCCGACTTGCATAATATCTGGCCCGATATTACAACCATGTCCGCACTCCGATAATTCTGATAAGTCTGGCGAAAAAAGTTAGGTTAAAGTTAGGTTAAAGGTATTTAGGTAAAGTGGGAGGGGAGGATACTTTGGCAACATTCAGGTCCTCATACGGGGTTATTCTTTTCCGACGGTTTGTTAAAGTTTCCGTAAAAGTCATCCGACTTGCATAATATCTGGCCCGATATTACAACCATGCCCGCACTCCGATAATTCTGATAAGTCTGGCGAAAAAAGTTAGGTTAAAGTTAGGTTAAAGGTACTTAGGTAATGTGGGAGGGGAGGATACTTTGGCAACATTCAGGTCCTCATACGGGGTTTTTCTTTTCCGATGGTTTGTTAAAGTTTCGATTTTTGCCCGTAGGTCCAGATGCACCGGTGGATTTTGACCCATCAGAGCGGGAGTGGCTACACTGGCTAGTTGTGAATATTCCAGGAAATAACTACAGGAAAGGAGAAGTTCTAACTGAATACGAGGCTCCGGGGGACTGCTATGCCACAGGTTATTCCTTCCTTTCTGATTTCACAAAAAAAAATGTTTAACCAAAAATACATATTGCTGGGTGAATGAGACAGTGCTCAAAAAATGAAAGAGAATTTCTTCACAAGTGTCACATCAGCAAGTCTAGTCATCAAAAAAGAAAATCTTAGAGAGGTTTACAGTGAGTTTCATACACTTCATCTCAATAATGGAACAAGCCATGGAAAAAATAAGTTTCCTGAAAACACAAAATTTGAAATTAATTTGTTTTTTAATCCACCTCGCCTAAAATTGTCCTTAAATTACGGCAAGCGCCTAAGAGATGGGATGTAACGGTGCCTGGCATATTCCACAATTATATTAGATGCATTAGAAGTTTCTGTTGGGGGTAGAGGGGGGAGAGGAGAAGGATCAAAACATTTGAACAAAAGCCCGACATCATCCATAAACGATCCCGCATGGCCTCCATAAAAACACAATCTTCCTCTAGTTTCCGAAATAAAGCTTGTTCTTATAGTTGGAAACATAAAATTGTCTTATTTCTACGTAGGATGAGGAACGATCCGATATTTGCACTTCAACTAATTCCGGCTGTGAAAGCTGTGCGTGACATAACATTCTTTCCGGGCGCAGAGACCGCAAATTCCAGATGTAACATCCGTTGCTGTTGCTATAATACTGAACCCGCAGTAGTCCCAACTACGGACCTACCAACCGGCAATTTCCGCCTCTAGAACGCGGAGCGGACGGGTATGTCTGTACAGTCCATAACTGTTTTTCAGCGCAAATAATCTTTTTTAGCTCCCGTTAGTCATATATTAAGTTTGTTTGCTTCTTTTTCCAGGTCGTCACCGTTACGTTTTTGTCGTCTTTAAACAACCGGGAAATAAGAAAATGAAATTTCATGAGACAACAATTTCTAAAGGGTAATTTCAATCATTTAGCATCTAATAATTTCCTTTCCCTCTCAGATGTTCGGCTCTTATGCAAACTTGTACTGACGTTTTGTTCTACATTTCTTGCCGTGTGATGGTTTTTTAAATTCAAATAATTAAATTAATAATGTCCATCATAAAATGAAAAATTTTCAATCTAGCCATCTCTTTTCGCTCAGTGTTTGCAAGATAATGACCAATTTTACATCACAAAAATACGTTGAGTTTGAAGTCACAGGATTTAAAGGGAGGGTAAAGTAGTGTACAGCAATAATTTTCACGGTCTGAAGATTTTTAACCACTGTTGAGCAGAAAAGTGAAATGCCAATTGTCAATTCACTACGTTTTTTCTCATTGCTACGTAGTCCTTGAACTTTTTAGTTCTTGGATGAATTGAATTATCATTTCTCCTGTAGTTTTAGTAATTCATTTTCCATTGATGTGTTTCAGAGAAAAAGATGAAAACAGGAGAGCCAAGTTTTCAACGTTGGGTTTTGCGAAAAAACACGGCCTGGGCGACCCATGGGCAGCAAACTTTTTCATAACAGATTTAGATGATTTGTTTTCAGACGACAATATACAACCATTATAGACCTTAAAGAATTTTAAAGAAACAAAATCTATTGTTATCATTTGAATGTTATTAATTTTATGATTTTTTTTTGTAAAAAATGAACAATAATAAAATTACAAGAGGTTACTGATTAAACTAAAAGAACGCTGGCGGCAAATAACATAACTTTTTTGATATCGATAATATCCATCAGATGGTTAGCCGGTCAAAGCGACGGAATAGTTTGCCATTTTATCAGATGAAAAAAGAGATCACTTTAAGCACTAAAAACGGTGGCTTTTCCATTCAAGAGGAGAAATAGGACGAGAGAGCCTCAGATAAAATTACCCATCAATATGGCACGCTTATCATGGCACCTGGATGCAACTAGGCGTGCCCAGTGTGTGTGCGTGTTGCATGTTAAGATATTGAAGGCGTTTTGATTTTTCTTGTGCTAGCTTTCAATAACTTGCTCCACGACGCGACGCCGCGCCGCTGCTGCGCTGCTATCGTCATCTGATATGTGGGATGATAATGCAATGGCCATCCTCCACTTTTTTCTGTAGACCAATTTTTTCCCGTTAATTTGTCAAAGAATCGAATAAAGTCGTGACGGAGACAGTGCCTTAAATCGAGTCTGAAATCAAAAATTTAAGTTCAACTGGAGTAGGCAGTTTGTCTGTGTCTCATGACCTGCACAGCACCTTGTATGATGGAAGAATGTTTACTATTTTAAGTGAAGAAGAGCCACCTCTAACTTGTTATCTGTGTGGCAATACATCTGTTCAACCGAAAGATATTACAGGAGTGCAGAAGAGCCATTTGAGAAATTTCGAGTCTCTGAAGTTACTCGGAGCAAACGCCTGCACAGGTATTGTCAATTGATACCTTATGGCTAAGTATAGCTCCCATAGAAATGGTATGAATTGGCCAGTCTTACATATAAAGGCACGCTCTATTCTACCATTTAAGAATGATTTATTTCAAGAAATAACCAACTAATCAACCCCTAAAGACTTGAACCAAAAAATCGTAGGCTGAAACTCGTCTGTGTGTATCAGATATCCATTTTCTATCTAATCACTCGTGGATTATGACCGGATTAAGTGCATACTGAGTACTGACATACACACATATATTTGCAGCACAATAGAACTACAATTTAATCCATGAGGGGGGTGGGAATTACAGTAACGGCTAAGTGATAAAATGGTACTAGAAATTTACCCATCATACTCCATGGAATATATAATCACAAGAGTAACGTATAACGCATAACGCTGGAGGCGCAATTTTTTTTTTTTTGGGGGGGGGGGGTCGGACCGCGAAGCGGTCAGTGGGTACATGCCTTGTATATTATTTTATTTAAAACTGGGCCATTTTTTAAACAGATCCTGACGTTCCAACACGGGAAAATCCCACTGAACGAGAGTACCTGCATTGGTTAGTCGGAAATATTTATCAGGATCAATGGACGACCGGTGAAACTATTGTGGATTACATTGGACCAATTCCTGAGCACATGAATGGTTTGCTATTATCATACGAAGCAATGGAGGATTTGCACGCAAATTGTTTAATGCTTCATCTGAAAGTGCCTGAAGAGCTGATTTTCTAGTATTTTCAATAATTTTTTTTGGCTATGGGAAATAGTTTGAAAATAGATTTAAAAGTGAGAAAATGCGCCACCTAGTGACGTCATCTGGTGGTATTTCCCATTTAAACGCATGTTCTGCTGGTGCAGATTAGATAATTTTGTCATATCTCCTCCAATAATTGTCCATTTATGAACCAAGGGTATCCTTGTGTTCAGCTCACTTAATTGGTAGCATCCATTCAAATGTAGCATTCATAAAGGAAAAGTTTGTGCTAATTTGTCCGAGGTAAAAAGCTAGATTGACTGGACTAAATGGAGCTTTTAGAAAAGAGCACGATTTATCAATTACTTTGACCTCTATGGTAAGCGGATTGTGAACCTAAATTACAGCTAACCAAGGCAGAGGTCTTAAATACACGACTTTTTTTGACGTAAGGAATCAATCACAGAGGTTGGCTTGCGACCCAACCACAAACGCGGTATTCATTGAAGTATCTATATTATTGTGGACACAAGCTAAGATCAATGAGAGGGGATCTCCTTTGCAAATTACGACAGTTTTTACAAAAAAATGCGTACAAAGAGAGGGGAAGAGAAAGAGAGAGAAAATTAAAATGGTCATTATGCATTTAGTAGCGTGCTGGTTTTTAGGTCATTGTTCAATATAGTTAAAAACGGCTTAGCAAAAGGTAATGGTACAAATTGAATGAAAAAAATGGAGAGAAATTTTCTTGCCTGACCCATTAAAAAATGTCACAGTTGTTATGGTATTTCTAAATACTACGATTGAGTTTGTATTAAGGACGTTGACGATTCTATGAGTCAGTATTTCATTCATTTTAGCTAAACTCGTGCAGTTTGAATGGGTCCTCAAAAATTTACATTTCTTGGTTAACATGGATGTAACTGATTTTTTTCATACAGGTCCTCACAGAATGGTATTTCTTGTATACAAGCAGCCAAGTACAGACTTCATTAGGTTTGAGGAAGAACGACTTCCTCCTAAGTAAGTGGCTCGCTCTTTTTTTTGGAGGCACAATGCATTAGGGAATTTTTCCACCGGACAAGATAAGAGATGTGAGCTTGTTCAAGTCCGCTGATAAAAGTTTACGTCATATTTCAGCGCAAGACACCTAGGTTTTAAGATGCAGTTTTGAAAAAAATAATTTATTTCCCGAACCCATATATTTTCGGGGACATACTCCGAATAAGTCACGATTTCTTTCTGGCCTGTCACAGCGCTTCCGCGGTACTGGTCGGTGAAATAATGTTAAACATTGAGTATGGACAATATTCTTCAACTAAATTTCTTTATAACTCAGTTGGAGAATGCTTAGAAAAATGCAAATTGTAATTATGAAAAGTTGATTTTGTTTTATTAAAAAAATCAGGTTTAAACACATGATTGAAATGAAATAGTGACGTATGAATGGCTACAGTCGATTAATATGTACCTACCTACTATGTGTGGCATTGCGAATTGGCATGTTTTATTGGTTCAACTAACCAACAGTTTCCCTAGAATTTTCTTGTTAGGTTTTTTATTCATTCAAAAATATTCATAGACAATTTCAACGATATGTTTTGATTATTTTTCTTTTAAAAATATGAAACAGAATTGAAGATTTGTACATGTCACTTGCATTATTCTACCTGGCCAATCATTTGATACGATCACAAAAAAAGAAGAAAAAAATTATCCGGACGTTCTTAAAATTCTGAATTGTATCATGAGGTTTGATTTCATTTTATTCGTAGGCATGATCAAAAAAAGCGAGGAAAATTTTCGTCAATGAATTTTACCAAGAAGTACAACTTGACAGGACCAGTTGCAGCAAACTTCTTTATGGCATACTGGACACAAAATATGGCGGCAAACTTGTCCAAACCAACATCATCAACTACGGAGGATCCTATCTACGATTACACAGACGAAGAAAGCAAGAATCATACTGCTAAGGTCAAAACGTAACTGTATTCAATGAAAAACACAAAATAACTGTGAACAATAAAAAGACAATCAGTAATGCCTAAGAGATGGGCACAAATCTGGCTCTCTCCTCCCAGGGAAGATTGTACATTATGTTTTGCCGTTTTTATTGATTTGACGAGTCCTTTATGTTTACCAATTGTTTGTGTTTATAATATTCATAATTTAATTTTCTTGATACTAGATGACCTGACATACCAGGCTATGCCCCATTCGTTTGTAGAAGAAGAAGAAGACAATTTACTCATTCGTACTTTTGTGTTGCACGTTTGGATCTAAAGGAAACCTGAGATTCTGAGCGCCAAAAATAACATATCGACGGTGAAACTACCAAACCACGTATTTCGTTTGCGGTGTTTAAAAATCTACGCTTGCATTTTATTTTTTTTAAGTAGACCAAATCAATATCATTCCTTGAAATTTTCACAGAATTTTCTCCGCGCGAAGAGGAAAAATCACAGAAATTTTCAAGACTGGACGTTAAGTAGTTTTTCATTTAAAAAATAAAGTATGACAGGAAGTCTGCGACGACGCAAACTGAGATACGTGGTTTGGTAGTTTCACCGTCGATATAGTACATGACATTTTCACATAAATGCACGTCTAGTAAAGTCGAATACAAAGGATGACGAGTAACAGTTTGCCTAAGATGATATGAGACAGAAACTCCCCCCCCCCCCNATCGCCAAAATGTAGATACGTCGCGCCGTGTCAAGTCTTGGATTGACAATATTCAAAAAGATAAGAGGAAGTGAGACTTGCCGGAGCAATTCTGACAATATGGCCACACGTGGCGGTTGGATGTCGTAGAACGCACGGTGGCGCCGCGCCGTGTAAGCGCATAGGACATAATTTTGTCTGAAATCGATACCATTTGTTGAACATGTCCTCAAATTTGAAAAATAATAAATATATTTTAAAAAAAACATTTCAAGGGCCTTAAATCGTCTTTTTCCTCGTTGCCTGAAAATTCCTCTGAAAAACTATTATTCTCTTTGATTTTTTACTTACGATTTTTTCTGAGAAATGTTTACTCGTGAGCTTGTCTCACTATAAAAAAGTCAAGCTATCTATTGAAATTACATATCTGATTCTGGTTAATGAAAACTAATATTACGTAAGGGTGAGGAGATTGGTTGACAAAGGCGACACGACATGAGTGTCTAACGGTTAAAATCACATTTGATCGTTACGGTTCTTGAAGCGGGGGGTATCTATACCTTTTAATGTAATCGAAATTCAGAAAATTTAGTTTTAACTTTTAAAAATTATCTCTCATCCGTTTTGACGATGTTTGAGAGCCAGAGAAGCTTCAAGAGGAGGGTGTAGATTCATCGCTTTCATCGAATACATATTCCTAACTCTGAGATCGATTCCTGAGGTAGATCTAAATAAATGACTCCGAATAATGAAACTCTTAAAAATAACCTTAAATTATAAATGAGGATCCTAAAATTCTAGAATTGAGTGGTCAGATATATTTTAAAAGTAGCCCCGAAATAGTAATCATACACATCTCATCTGGCAGTCCGATGATGAGTATTTTGTTTTTTCGAGTGGTTAACCCTTTTTCTCTGTTTATCACATATCATGAGTATTTTTGTGAACAACCGTGTATAGTTTGAATCGTATCAAACTTTATGAAGATATCTGTAATATTTTCAGACGGCCCAGTGAGGAATGTGAAAAACATCATTTACAAGTTTTGAAGCGTTTAGTATTTTTGATTGCAATTTTGCTCCATCTGAATGAACATGCGTTGGATCAAGGTGCGATTCAGTTTTGACGCAGCATTGATACGTCGTGAAAATATTTACCTCTCAAAATCCAGTGACTCAGAGAAATTTCGTTGACGAGAAGCATTAACTGCCGAATAGTAACGGTAGAAAATAGTGAAATTTACACGGCAGTTTTTCCTATCATGTCCAATTAAACCAAAGGACTCATGTATTGGCTGTGTGCAGATGTTTTTGAGTAGGCTGATCAATACGTCACTCAAAAAAGACTAGATCGAATATCCGAATGATTCCCTCGCGGTGTCAAAGCTGTATGACCATCTTGCTAGGTCTGTTGCCTGCAGCACTTTTTTTGAGTCCAGAATACAACATCGCCATTTTGAAAGAAAAACACATCTGTCCTGATGTCATACCCATTGAGGACTGCCCGGGTGAGAGGGTGGAGGTGAGATTCAAGTTTGATTTTCATGATGACACAAATTATGGTAACTTAGACCTGTGAATGAGAATAATTTCATCGCGGAGTTTGTTCTCAAAAATTTGTAATTTTTTCCATTAATATCCAATTATTTTATGCTCTTTTCAATAATCCTCATACTTTTGTTTGCGCATATATTTTTTATCTCTCTAACATGTTTGCTTCCTTTCTTATAGGTGCTTATTAAATTCATGTACTTTTTAGAGGCTTTATCTCCCCTCAGAACATTTCGGATCAGCATTGCTTTTTTTATTTTTATTATTTAACGATATTTGGGTCACACTTTCAGCGTCCCCTCTTTTTTTATTTTTAATATTTATTAAACACCAAGGCAAACTTTTTTCCTCTTAGAACTGAAAAAATGAAACTTAAACTAAAGCGGCGTCATGAAATACGTAGGATTTTCAGATTTTGAGTGAGGTTTTTCCTTTATGGTTATTTCTTTAAATACATATCATGAGAAGTTTGACACGAAGAGTTGAAAAGACTCTGTACCCCCACTGAGGAGAGCCAATGTTCATATTGCTCCAAAAAATGATTTATTTTTGTCAAGGAACGAGGAACATTATCACAAGTCCTTATTTTTAGAATTTTCATTATTTAACTCAAAACCACAAGGAAAACCAAATGTAAATACGTTGCTTGTAATTACCAATGGTTGAATGTTAGGCAAGTTTAAATATCATATTATTTTCAATTCGTGTTAAACGAGTTACAGCTAGCATGGGACAATGCCATTGTAGATTTTGGAGTGTCAATGGATGCGAATGATATTCTTTACTCTCCTTCTAAATCACGTTGGCCCATTCAAAAAGGAGCTTTATACGTCTTGATATTCATAGGTATAGTAATTTACTTCAATCAAAGAATTACTCAATTATTGTTGTTCATATTTGTAGAGTAAAATTATTAAATTCACCAAGATTCGTTGATTTCGGACGGAATGCGAATTTCATTGTGAATGCACTGAGTGTTGATACTGATAAGATACCTACTTTTTATAATTTTCAATGCGAATTATTTTAAAATTATTAATGATACCTCATGATAACATGTCACACATTTGAGTATGAATTTTATATTTAAACCTCCATGGTATGTTTTCATGAAACCTGCATCAAAATACCTCCAAATGATGCAGAATATCTGTTTTTGCATAGTTAGATTGCATGAAATGTTCAACAACGTTTCATTTTATATCAGTATTTTAATTTGACACTCTACCTTATGATAGTTGAAAATATTCTGTGAGAAAATTAAAATAATTTTTTTCCTGAGCAGACCCAGATGTTCCGACAAGAGAAAATCCCTCTGAACGAGAGTACTTGCACTGGTTGGTCGAGAATATTTCTGGAGATAATTGTCATCATGGTGAAACCCTTTTTGACTATATAGGGCCTATACCAGAGCACATGCGTGGTTAGTTTCCCAAACAATTTGCAATGTGCAGTTCATGGTTGCTCCTAGGTTCCCTGAGATCAGACTTAAAAAAATTGGAGCTTCTTATTTGTTAAGGCTAGTTTTAATATAGAATTTATGAGACTTTCTCCAAACAAGTTGATAAATCAAGAAAATACTCCGTTTCAAGGTAATTATAAGAGCATACGACCTACATTTGAGTGTTGCACGTTGGCAATTTTTGTCTCTGACAGGACGTGAATAGTCTTTATGGGTGGATGTAGCCACCTTCAGTCTAAATCGTGTCCGCCCGGAATAATGGCAGCTATCCTCTATTCATATAAATATCTATAATATACTTGTGAAATGTTTATGCAGTGCGTAGAGAAGAGGTGAAAGTCCATCAAACTAACTAACTACTTGCCATGTTGCTTCTCATCCGGGCAGTATTGCCTGCAATTCCTGAAATGACAAAAAAAGTGACTGAAAAATTCTCTGCCTTCATTTTTTCGATTAAACTTGAACAGCAAGACCCAAAACGGCACTTCCTAATTCCCGTTTGTTTCGTGGCAGACTAGCAAAACGACACGTAAGATGTGTCATCTAATAATTTCTCCTAGTTTCACTGATCTCTCCCATATTTTTCGAAATTTTTCTTGTGTGGGACTGTCGTTACGCGAGATGTTTCTACAAATCCGGTGATTCCTTGGAAATTTTAAAACCGTTTCGGGGAACCAAAAAAAATCCAAGTTATTTTTATTTTTTCTATACCTATCTTATCTTGAATAATTTCGTACAGAAATTCCTTAAGGTTCAAATGGAGATTGAGATTTAATTACATACATGTTTACTGTGAAAGTTATTGATTTTTCACGAGATTCCGCCACGACACAGGTTTTAAACAGGCAGTAATTTGGGACTCCAAAGTTGAGTGTCGAATACCGAAAAGTATGTTTCAATCTAGAGTACAAAAATATAGGGAGAGTACGGACATGTCGGCAGTTTTGAGGTTAGGTGATAGAGCTCTCAGGGCCCAAAAGTGCAGCCACTCTATGAATTCAAATTATCCAGAGTTATATTATTACAAATACCAAGACCCAAGTCGTTGGTAAAGCATGTAATGGGCTTACTTTTGCATAAATCTACTCATTTTTGCGGAAGAACGCTTATTTACGAAAATTTTTGGTCATTTTGGTTTGATATTGGAATCTGAAGATTGACATCGACATTTTTCGTTTTTAAATGTAAACGTAATGCTCATTTCTTTTAATAGGTACTCATAGGATGGTCTTCTTAGTCTATCAACAACCTGGCACAAGTGGCACAGACTTTGTCAGGTATGAGGAGGAGGAGTGGCCCTTTGAGTAAGATAATTTTTTTTTTTTTGATATTTCATTCTCCTTAATATTAGAATTGCTTTCAGCTCATTTTTTCCCATCTCAATAGGATGCAAGGTTTCGAAACATGGAATAAAAATCTATAAAAATATATTATGATAATAATACAAACGTAGGGGTCTTTTACTACAGGTACTTCATTTAAAAGATCTCAGTGTGAGTTAGCTCGTAACGAATATATATACAATGCTGTTTTGTATCAAAATAATGCAATAAGAAAATAATCAAAGTAACATCCGGAGTACGCTGCACTTAATGCAATGCAATGCATAGGGACTACGATACAATAAGCTTGTTCTCAAAGGACCTCAACGGTCCTGTATGGTCCTGTATACTTCACGCATTGCGCCAAACACAGTGCGGTCGCTGCGCTATGGTCGGCGCGAGACGCTTAGCGCCTACACGAGTGCAAGAATACTTCACGCATTGCGCCAAACACAGTGCGGTCGCTGCGCTGGTCGGCGCAAGACGCATAGCGCCTACAAGAGTGCAAGAATACTTCACGCATTGCACCTAACGGTGCGGTCGCCGCAAGTCTTGACGCTCGGGGCGTTCACTTTCCCATACGTGTTTCACAATATGTATCTAACCGTGGTAACGGTCCTGTCAGCGGTCGGTGTATGTAATATGTATGTCGAGTGTATCCTGAGTATCCTTGAGTATCTTTGAGATTATATCTGAGTATCCTTTTAGAATGCTCACACTAATTAGGAATCATGTGCACTATGAGATATTGGCCTAGTCTTTGATTTGCAATTTGCCATCCGATACTTTCACATCAATTGTTAATTGTGATTAACTTTTACAATCTGGGACAAAAAGAGCACCGGTCTCAGGAGTCTGACGAATTTCGTCGGCTGATATAATCATCATCTGATTCTCTCTGATATCTTTTTATTGCAGTCATTTAATATCTTGTCATGCCAATATTTGTAAAACAGCTTACATTTTATTGTTGACATTTAGGCGCAGAGAAAAGTTGCGAGTCAAGTTTTCATCCAATAATTTTGCGAAAAAGTATAACCTGACGGGACCAATTGCAGCAAATTTTTTCATGGCCCACTGGACGCAGAACACGGCGCAGAATTTGTCTAAATCAACAACTTCGACCACAGAGGATCCCAGAGAGTTCGACATGCAAATATATGGTTGAAAAACATTTTATCATTCATTTCCTTAGAAATTACACACTACGATTGTCAATATGTAATGTCAAAGATATACAAAGATGAGAAGCTAAAACTTTTTATTGCTCTCCTGAAAAACCATTTTTTTTTTGCATGGCAAGTTGTTTGTTAGTTATACATACCCACATGAAATCCGCTTTCATAGCCTTCTCTGCCGCCTCTGACACCTAACCGCTAAATTCGATATCCTCGCAAAGCCCCCCAAGTATAGGGATAGTTGGCACTCCCTCATTTCTTGCAAAACCTTCGGTCACCACCCTTCTACTGAGCTTTCCTTTCGTCTTCTACCGACGAAACTCATTTAAGCATCTTAAGCGGCAGTCCCTCCTCTGTCACCCTGATAACATGTGAATACCAGACTAGTTGTATGGTCATGATGCCAAATACGATGTTAGTTTCGACCTCCAGGATCTAACCGACTATTCCGCAATACGAACCTGATCTCCTCTAGAAAGTCCTGCCGACTTATCCTCCAAAAAAACCATCTCCATTGCTCTTATAATATCAAAATCAGTGAACATTGTAATGCAATGTGTGGAGGTAGTAGCACTTAATATATATGAGTTTGGGTTGGTAGCCGAGTGCTAGAAATAATGCGATGCATTAATGCATTATAATAATATGCAAAATAATGCATTATTTCTAGCTTTCGGCTACCAACCCAAACTCACTCTTATAATACTCTATACGTCCGCATTTTCTGCTGGCAAACTTCACATCCACAAATAAGAATACTTTTGACTACAACGATGTAAATTCTCTCCTACTTTTCTTTGAGGATTTGTTGATCCCAAGGGATTCCATTAAACATCATCCTCAGCTCCCCAGGGTGTTCCTTACCTTTGACAGCTTGATCTGTTGCCCATCCACCCACGCAAATGCTTTGTTGATCACGCATTACCAAAACAGTTACAGTGGCAGGCAGTTTTGAAATTAACTGAAAGCTAATATTATTGTGAATTTCTGTTCCTGTCGAAGGTCCATTAAGTGGAGGGGGGATTAAAACTTTGGGCATTTTTTTAACGGTGCGTGGTAATAAAAAGTACTCGACGGGTCATTTAAGAAGGTATGACTCAAATAATCACGTTGTATGATCACCCTTCAACATTTAAAATGGTGAGAATTTTGTGCAACGACAAGAGCTTACAAAATAAAGAGATACGAATATGTTATCCGCTGAACATTGGTAAAATGGGATAATATTATCATAAATTAATGACGTCATTTGCATTTTTGCTGCATGACTTTAACTTTACGAGTTGCTCTCGAAACTTCCCGTCGTATGAACAATTTCTTACGGAAAATAATTGTGAGGAGGTGTCACGGAGCCTTAGTTTAAGAGCTTAGGCTCAGACATGGTTGTCAAAATGAATGAAAAAATTCAAATCGGCACGTATAAAATTAACCGACTTTATCAAAACGAAAGATGGCAAGGCAAAATGTTTCGGCAAAACGGTTATTAGAACATTACATGGCAATGCTAAAAATATAAAAGAAGA